CAAGTCACCCAAAGCAAGCTCCCTGATGTTCAATGCCCTCTAGTGGCGATCTTCAGCCCCTGAAGTTTGTATTCTGCTCACAGCAGCAGCCCTGTGCCATCCAAATTCCGCACAGTTTCTTCGTTTCCAACACCACCCAAATTTCCCAGTGCTCGTCCAAAAACACTAGCGCCCAACAGGAAATCCCGACAGGTCGAGCTTTGCCAGCCCCAAGTCGTTCAAACTTTTGGCCACACACGAGTGACTGTCACCCAACTCCCAAATTCTCATCTCCGATGCTCTGTTGCGATTCGCTTCAGTCTTGTGAAGCTTCCCTTGGCACCACATTGCCGCTCCCAAATAGCCAGTGCATGTAGCAACGTCTTGTTGATCACCACCCACGCATGCTTTGGTGATGTCCAAGGCTTTGGCATGCGTGTTCTCAGCATCTGGAAAATCCCCGAGTGCAACAAGGGTGCATCCTAAAAGGCTGAAGGTCTTGGCCATCAATGCGCTCTCTGCACCTGCCACCTCAGTTTGGATATCAGAGCTTTTCGGAAGCCATCCGGAAGTCATATCGGAAACCTGACTTCAACATACTTCCCCTTTTTTCTAGTTGCAATGACATAGCTGAGAGCTCTTCTGCTTCTCTGAGACTCCGGGTGTTTGACTCCTACTCAGATTTGTTGTGTGCATCCTCCCACTGCAAAGAACAATTAGTATCCATATTAATCTATCATTTTCAAATCATGCATTCGGATGAGATGCCGTGATATGTGGTTTATGCTGCCACCATCTATGTAGACAGCCATGTGTGCAGTAACATTAAGAACTCAATGAAATCGTGTTGGTTGGGGTGGTGACATTGAATGGGATAGTTCTTAGTTGAAACACAAAAATAATGTGAATGTATCAATACACTAACATGGGTGTACTTCTGTAAGCGTGGTTCTCCAACAAGTTCTCATACTGCAGAATACATAAAATAGTGAGGACAGAGAGACACATGCAAAGTTGCTGGAGAGCCTGCCTTTGTCAAGTGGTTTCACGCAATGGCGGCATCAAGCCTTTGCTGCCAGAAATGCAAGGTTACTCCTGCTCTATATTGCATTCACACAAAGCTAACGTGTTGGCAGAAATTGTGGGTTCAAAGATAGCGCGCAGCAGTTTCACTGGCTTGCTTTACCATTTGCTGGATATGCGACTGTCAAACGCTTGAAAATTCTTGAAACCATCTGACATGGATGGGATAAACATCCAACACATTATAGACATTCGAGATTGCGGTTCAACATTATTGCGAACTGCAGATGGTCCATTGCTGGCGGACACTGGCATGGCACAACAGACCAAAGTAGTGGGCCGCACCGCCGCCTTCTGGCCACCTCTCAAAAGGGATCTGATTGGCATAAGAATGACCTTCTCTTGATTAAACATGAATGTCATGAGTAATGGCTCGTAATACTACGAAGCGTGCCATAACTCTACCACGTCGTCAAAGCAACAAAAAGTATTTCCTAGCAGCCTGTATGAAGAATCATATCTCACCAGATACCAGCGATACGCCATTGTGCGTGCCTGTTGCTGATGCTCACAATGTAGATCGCACACATGCAACACTAAGGCACCCATCGTAAGCATGTTGAGCACAAAAGCATCACGCGCCTGAAGTTAAAGATGTGAGCAATTGCATGCCGAGGTTTGAGAGTCAAGACCGCAGAGAATGGCTGGCATGTTGGCATTACAGTTTAAAGAACAGTGGAGCGAGGATTAAGTTACTGCTACAAGGCAAAGGCCCAGCATTATCAGCCCTGCTCGTATAAAGCGAAGTGGCGCCAAGTGCATCTCCTCAAAAGTCAATGAGTAAATGTGACATTCCAAATACGAGGCTTACCATCGGCACTCCATTTCATAGGCCCCTAAACACTGATGGAAATAATTCACCCGGTATTCTACCACAGAATACCATCAAATGGCGCATTAAGGCAGCAAATCACAAGCCCATGCTGGCAAGCAGATGGGAGAACTCAAAATCAACATGGCAACATTGCAGTGCTGCTTGCACGCTGTTGGTTGGAGTAGTACTTAAAGGATTAGACTACCATCTTCCTTGCCCCGAGCCAGGTGGCTTTCTACAGCGATGAAACATTCCAAGGGGGTGGAGGGGTGGGGTGTACCCAGATTGAGTTGCTTTGCTGATATCTACTTCACCGTCTGTCTAATTTAGTAAAAGTCACGCTGGCCGATCTGGCTGACTCCAACTGGCAGGCACCTTGCCCACAACTGCACTGGAAGTCCGTCATACTGGCGCCCACAACAGCACCGCACGGGCCCAGCGCCTCATTCCAAACGCAGCGGCCAGCAAGAAAACAAAGGTAATGGTCTAATACTAATTAACACTAAATCGTACTGCATCATACTACGTTATATTACGCAGTAGTACATAATGCCACATTATACTGCAGCACGCCACAGCATACTACAGCGGAGAGCAGCATACTACAGAATATTACATGGTCAACAGCTGTTCGGGATAGTGTGCGTGATGCCGGGCAGACTTGAGGGAAATGCTATGCTGCATGAGCAACGGTGCACGAAATGGCAGTGTGTACACGTCAAGAGCGTGAGTCGCAGTCAAGGTACTGAGAGGTCCTGGCCTTGTAACCTGAAAACGAAAGCCAAGGCGCGGTCGGGCCTGTCAGGGCCATGAGCGTGACTCGGCGCTGTTGACATGTAGGCAGCTAAAATGGGATTGAGGAGCAGCTGCGAGGGAATTGTAACAGCTGCACCAAGTCGGCATCATCGAAACATTCAACTCAGTACATTGCATCCGTTCCCCATCCCCATCGAGCCCACCGATTAGACCAGGTCAGCTACATCGGAGCACGTGACTTTGAAATGTACTATTCACCTAAAGTCTGCTGCGCATTTTATCCCCATCCCCACCCACCCCTCTTGGTCCCGTGGACTTCCTCAATCGACGTCTGGGAAGCTGGGCTGTCGATTATGGGTCCATGGCAGTCTGTGAAAGTCTCATGCACGCTGATTGTTTGTAGCTCAAACACTTACTGTGTTTACGCAGTTTAGGCGCCTACATTTCAAATGCGTAAACGCAGGCTGTGTTCATGCTGCATGGCAAACTTGCATGCCAGTCACATGTGCCCAAGGGGCCGGCCCAATGCCCATCTCTTTGGCAGCGGCTCTCGTAGGGCAAAAAAGCGATGCACTCCTCCCCTCCCGGCAATACAAGACAAAAGCACCCTACCAACAATGACAAGGGAGCCTTTCCAGACGCACCAAAAATTGAGGAACCCAACCGTGCCATAGAGCGCCAGGTTCGCCCTGTCGCCATGCACTGCCAGAAGACCCTAAAATGGTTATGTCAGCTGTGATGCCATTTGGGCAGTAAGTAACGGCGCCTCAGTGGTGCAGATGGTGTAAAACTAATTGCAGTGGTATCAACTAGTCTGGAAATGGCATCGCAGTCCTGTGATGTTACTTCGATAGTACCGCAGTATATTCAACCCTTCCGCATAATAACGCAATGCTTGGCCTAACTTCGCATACAAAATGAACAACATTCTTTGATCCAAGTTTGCAAAGCAATGTCAAAAAGCAATAATAAGGCCCTGAACAAAAGAATGAAAAACGTACCATAAAATTTGAATATACGATGCTACTTGGCAGCGCCTCAGCGATGCAGATGGTGCAGAAGGAATGGTGATGGCATCAATGTCAAATGGCATGGCAGCCAGCATGACAAGGATGGTGTTTTCTATCGGTGGCAAGCGTTCACTAAGCGCAAACGCCCCAACCTGCCACACCCCACGACCCGTTAATCTAGTGTATGACAAATACTGGTGGCACCTGATGTATGGCATTAGCGTGGCGCCTCACTATCATCCAGAATTTGACCTAGCCCAACCATTCTGATTTCCCATGACCCCGTTTTTGCGAAGATTGTCTGATATTTACGATTACCAGGTATGAATGTCATGAAGGGTATTAGGGACTTGAAGTCTTTAAAATCAAGCAAACTAAATCTCAAAAATCAAGCAACCTAAAACTGAGAACGACCTGCACGACCCCATCATGATTTCATGACTTCATGGCATCGTGACCTTCATGACCATCGTGGCCTTCATTGCCTTCACGACTTCCATTACTTTCATGACTTCATCACCCCCACTACCTAAATGAATTCACCCAGAAATGAAGGGTATTGCTGACTGTACGTTTCGCCCCCACATGCCATGGCCCAATGCCGTGGTATGCTTGAGTATGTCAGACTCCAAACTTGGAAGCCTTTGCCCCTCGAGCTCTTGTTGTTGGAACCGATTGCACAACTGCGAAGTGCAAGATTGCAGTTACAACATATCATTGCTTCACAAACGCACAAGGTTAAGGGCAGTTACTATTTTGACCATCAAGCTAATTGTTGGAGGACACGCCCTGTAGAAGTCGGCACTGCAGGCCATTATTTACCAGCACCTATGGCACAACGCCAGAAGATGCCATCACCCTGTTTTGCCATTAAATTCTAATGCCCTGTGGTGTACACTGCATTCTTTTGTCCTAACTCCACACCTTCTGACAGCCAGGGTACAAAGCACTACCTATCACAAGGTCATCTAATCACGCAGTCGCAACAGCGAGCCTTGTGACAAAATGGCACCAATTTGTCAACTGATGTAGATTGGAAAGTGAATATGTCATGCTGTCTTGGAGGTGCTCACTTAAGAAAACTCAGTAGACACCATTTTCAGGAAGTGCTGCTGTTAAGAAGACATATCACCGCGGGAATGGCCAGGAGCGTTGAGGCTTTTCCATAAAAATGTGAAATAAATGTGTTATTGAGTGTGCATAGAACAACAATTGGTGCTCCCTTGTGCCTTGCTGAGATTCGCCCACTTCTCGGTCACGAAAGACTGCCACAGCAGAGATACTCTCCAGTAGCCGGACAGTTGATCACATCTTGTAGCAGTACATCATTGACTTTCAAAAGAGGAGCCAAGTTAAGTCTAATCATTGTCGTCCCTCTGCTCCCTAATCAACTCTAAATGGCTCAATGTGAATACAACGCCAATGTGATCATCGCCCAGCACCTTCTTTTCGACTTCTATGCATGTTTCAAGGACCTCTGCAGCATCTGCAAGCTTGCCTTGGTGCCACACAGTCAATCCCAAGTTAAAGAGGCTCCACGCAACTCTTGGATGGTAACATCCAAAGGCTTGCCTTAGGATGGCCAACTCCCCTCTGTGGTATGCTTCAGCCTCCAAATACCTTCCTTGCCGGTATGTCAAATCTCCCAGCCATCCTAGGCTCATGGCAATATCTGGATGGACAGGGTGCAGAGATTGTTTGCGAATGGCCAAAGCCCTCTTGTGACACTCCTCAGCCTCAGGAAGCTTGCCCTGCCTGCTCATCACACATGCCAAGTTGTTCAAGCTCTCTCCTACTTCCGGGTGTCCATTGCCCAGTGCCTCTTCTCGGATGGACAGCGCCCTGTGTTGCTGTTCTTCAGCTTCAGAAAGCCTTCCTTGGTAATACATTGCAACTCCCAGATTGGTGGTGAACTCACCAATGGCAGGATGGCCATCACATACAGCCTGCATTCCTATGACCAAGGCCCTCTTGTGATATTCTTCAGCCTTGTGATAGTTGTCAAGTTGCCACATCATCATTCCCAAATTGTCAAGGCTCCGTGCAGTCTCCAAATGGACTTCTTCATTCATGATGCCCAATGCCTTTGAGAAGCACTCTTCTGCGGCATTCACATCTGCTAGGTGAAGCATCACCAAGCCCAGGTCATTAAGACTCTGTGCCACATCTGCATTGCTGCTGCCCCCCTCCCTTGTCTTCATTTCTATTGACTTGCCACAGTATTCCTTGGCTTTGGAATAGCAACCTTGCTTCAGCATCACTGCACCCAAATGGCCCATGCTGCTTGCCACATTGCACTTTTCATTGCATGCTTGGGAGTTGTCCAAAGCCCTTTGGTGCATGGTCTCAGCCATGCTAAACTCTCCAATAATAAGAAGAACACAGCCCAGTTGGTTCAAACTCTGCACAACCAATGTGTGCTCCTCCCCCAACACTTCTGCTCGAATGTCCAAGGCCCTTTGGAAGCATGTCTTTGCCTCTTGATATTTCAGCTGCTCCTCCAGATTTGCAGCTGTTGCTGTCAGCCTCTCTGCCTCTGCAAGCTTCTCTTCATTGTTCAGACCCTGTGCTGTGCACCTGTTTCTTCCACCCTGATTGCAAATAGCCGTAATCCAATGATTGTCAGCAAGAGACAATTGCAGCATTGTGCAACTAAGCAAAGGGTATGGTAGGTATGAAGTGATGCAAAACAGACAAAATAATGCCCCACTGTGCCCCAATGCAAAAACTGCAGTACTCTTCATGCCTGCCATTCCTGGCACCTGTTATGCACCACAGTCCGTACAGTACTGGTTGCCACTGCAAGTGCTCAGCACATGCCAAACACAATGCACCAAACACAATGCAGTTTTGTGCAGAACACCACCCTCCAACAACAAATCAAAGCTGTTAGCCTTGATGATTCTGCACAATAAGCAATTGCAAGCTTGAATATAAGCACAACAGCATCCGGGTTCACACTCACAATTAACGTAAATGCCACAGATGCTCTTGCAGTGCAAATACAGACACCCAGGTAGCTTGTAGACTGCAAATGGTTGCGAAGGTATGAATGCATGAGGAACCAGTGTTTGTGCCATGTCAGCACAGCAATGCATTGTGACACAATTTGCACCAGGATGATGACCACAAAGAAAATATAACACACACGAAAACCATATGAAACACATGCGCTCTGGATTCCTGCATGGCCGTTGGCCTTGCCCTTGACGTCGTTGGCTGTGATGGTGAACAGGAAAATGCGGACTGTCGTTCAGCCATTTCGCATGCTATATGCACTACCATTTGTCCCACACCTTGTGACCCACTGGCGCTTTTTGTCATGTGACTCACCCCTTCCTCATGGAGCTCCATGCTTTCCCCCAAGCGGTTCTGGCAGAGTCCGTGACCAGGCCAGGTCCAGAGTGGCACCCTTTACACCTCCCCAGCCTTGCTGCCGTCTCAACGGCTGATGCCGCGCCGCAACCTCGGCCCTCGGACCACAAACCTGCAGGGCGACGCGCAGGTGCCAGTGGCGATCGTGAGCATTGCCCACCGACCTGTTACCCCGGTACGCCGCGCCAGTAACGCTGGGCACCGGCGGGAGTTGCGCGTACGAGCCTCAGCGCACCCCTCGGGGGAGGGGGGGGGGGCGCCGCCAAATCACCACAGCACCGAGGGCCAGAACCGCACCGGGCACCCCCGTGTGAAAATCGACAACGAATGATTGGCCTGGAAGCCATGGGCATCCGGAGGCGCACGGGAGGGGCCAAGGCGGGCATGCAATCCCCAGCGGTGCAGTGTGGCGGCTTGGTCGAGGAGCAGAACGGCCGACGGGCGGAGGAGCCTCTTGTGCGGGATGGGGAGAGCGGCTCGGCGCTGTCCTCACGGGCACCGGGCGCCGGCGCCTTGGCGACGGCCTCTCACCAGGTGCCGAGAACAGGCGGCGGGGTTCGCCACGCGAATTGGCCGTCCGCGAAGGTTTGGGGCGCGCCGACACAGAGGGCGGTCGCCCCGGTTGCCTGCGTGGTCCTTGCCTCGACCGGTAGCGGCTTGAGGGGCGCCTCTTGAGAGGCGGGCGTGCTGGGGCAATGATGGTGGGCGGGTGCGGCGCATCTTTAGTTCACCGGTGTATCCGATACGCCGATACCGATACACTGTATCGGCATATCGATACTCGTGGCATTCCGTATGGAGTGGCGCACAGTTGGGCGACGCACATTGAGCAAGCCACAAAGGGCATTGGGTCCGTTTGGGGATCAAACTTGATAGTTGCGGGGGGCAAGAATCCCATATCCAAGATATGAGAGGCGCTGCCCGCTGGCACATATCCTGGTCATCAAATAGGATGGGGGGGGAGATATATCACCAACCGTCCACAGTTGCCCAAGTCGCCCAGCAGGATATTCAGGCTGCCGGTGGCCCCTATCCCGGTGCTTATCGGGATGATGCGACTACCCAAGAGGAGCTCCCCCACATTCACGAGTAGGAAATTGTTTGTGCACTAAGAACAAAAACGTGCAAAATGCTAGAAACAAAAAGGGACACATTGTTGGGATGAATACCAGTACTTGCAAATGGGAGGCTGGAAGGATGATTTGGTTGGAATATGGTGACCAATGGAAGAAGCACATGAAGTTGAAGGACAATACAGAAACCCACTGGGTTGACTTGAATAGGAACATTGTGTGGGGGGTGAGCTGTCACTAGCAGAACGGGGTATTTTCAGGACCAGGTCCTGGCGTCCAGGACGGCGTCCGGGACGGGGTCCTGGACGTAGGGTCCCGGACGTATTTTGGCCATAACCGGACCAGTCCGGGGGGGGGTCCTGAAGGGTCCCGGACGGAGTCCGGCGGTGGATGCCAACAATGACTGATGGCGTTCCGGACGGGGTCCTGAGAGCTCCGGACTTCGTCCTACAAGGTCCGGACGGGGTCCTGCGAGCTCCGGACAGGGTCCTGCAAGCTCCGGACGGGGTCCTGCAAGCTCCGGACGGGGTCCTACAGGGTCCGGACGGGGTCCTGCGAGCTCCGGACTTCGTCCTACGAGGTCCGGACGGGGTCCTGCGAGCTCCGGACGCCGTCCTGCGAGCTCCGGACGCCGTCCTGCGAGCTCCGGACACCGTCCTGGAGCTCCGGACGCCGTCCTGCGAGCTCCGGACGCCGTCCTGCGAGCTCCAGACCGGGTCCTGCGAGCTCCGGACCTCGTCCTACGAGCTCCGGACCTCGTCCTGCGAGCTCCGGACGCCGTCCTTGAGAAGGACGCGGTGTATGAGGATGGCAACGCGGACGCCGATGGCGTTCTAGCCACGAGGTGGTCGTCCCAGATTTATGCTTGGGTGAGGTCGATGTTGAAGGGGAAGAACGTTGTTCGCCCCACAGTGAGTTCAGAGACAAGAGAATGGTTTACAACCTTTGTGTTTACAAACTGTCGACCCACAGCTTGGTCGACTTCAACCGAATGCCAACTTCAACGCCGCCGTTGAATGCAGCCGTCCGGCCTTTCCCAGCGCCACCGTCGCCTTGCCTCTCTGCCCGCAGGCTGCTGACAATTCTTCCTTGTGAAGACCCGACCTTGTGCACACCACAAAAATTTCAAAGTTTCCCATGCCGCCACTTCAAGCTGGCAACCTAGCCAACCCGCGCTGCTGGCCACCACCAACGCAAAGCTCAGCAGCCCGTGGCGCCGGTGAAAACGTGACACGAATATGGTGACCGCCCGCCAACAACTCGCAATTGTCAATCGCCACCCCACATTTGCACGTCGCCACTTCCAGGTGGCCATCAAGCCAGCCCGCGCTGCTTCCCAGCGCCACTTCGATGCTCACCAGAATGCTCGTCACCCCGTGGTGGCGAAACTGCGACGCCACAAGCTGCTGACCACCGCCTGCGCACAACACAAACGCTTTCAAATGGTACGCCCATCAAATTTACCAGCCGCCATTTCACAGTCGCCGCCAAAACAACCCGTGCTGCTCTCCCCCGCCTTGTTCGTTGACTTTCGAGTTGACTTTGCCAATAGGGCACGCCCGCGACCGGGGGGCCTGGCACGAAGCGCGGGGCCACAATCGTGCAGCGAAGTGCGTCCTCTACGCTCCAAATGAAACTCTTTGGTGCTGAGGCAGTTCAGCGATTTTTAGGCAACATTGTCGGCGACGGGAGGGGTGACATTTAGGCGGAGGCTTGCGATTAGACACCTGCAGGTGCTTGGAGCCGGGAACCATGGCTGAACGCTTGGCTGGGCAAGAAGGGGCGTCCTAAGAGCTGCACACGCAGCTCGTCGTGACGGATCCCTTTGCGCCGTGCGGTGCATGTCAAGCGGATCGCTGTGCTGTCAGGCAAGGCACGTTGCAGCAAAACGGGGGCTCCAGAGTGGCGACAAATGCTCAAAGAGGCGCCCCATTACCGTGGATCGTCTGAGCGAGTAAAAAGGCTGCCCTAGATCAGACCTGGGCACGCAGATGACGAGATTGGGAAGGGGTTAGTGCACGATTGCCAGGCCCAACGAGACAGTTCCTTGCGCATAGATCGCCAGCGCTATCAGGGAGAGGCCCAGGAGCCCTTGGGGGGTTGAATCAAAGCTTTGGGAAGGGTGCCTAGGCTGTCCATCACTCACTTCCTCCAATGGAATTTACCCTATTACCCTGTCCCACTCAAGAAAATGCAACATTTGGCACTGTGATGACAAATGTAATCGAAGTAAGTTCACTGCCCATCGAATCCCTCGCCAATTGAGAATTCCAGTGAGATTCCAGGCAAATGTATCCAGGACAGTGAGGATGAACCCCTCATCTGGCCACTGAAACCAAAGCCATAAAAGAGGGTAGTAGGATGTGCATGACAGAAGTGTAGGTTTGGGACGACAAATGTGGATGGCTGGATCACCTGCCCCATTGCTAGGGGCTTTCACCACAGATCCCAGTCTGCACCTTGAACAGGATTCTCGGGATTCAGGACAGCCATCAGGG